ATGTTTTAGATCAACGAAGCGACGTCTTATTAATCGACGGAAGAATTGCACAAAAGAGGAAACCAGATCAGAAACCAACGACCGGTGATAACTTTTCCATCACTTTTTACGAATTTCATTCGATTCATTTCGAATATTTCTTCCAAATTTATTATTTGTTATGGAAGGCGATATATTATAGAACATTTTTTGATAGTCACCTTTAAGTCTCAATGGTGACACGACAGGTACCCTTACGAGGGGAGAGTATCAACCCTTGGCATCGGTAAACCCTCGTTGCAACCGGGGTAGGCGCCTGATGGGTTAGGTATATACAGTGTTTCTCATTTAGGAGAAAATTGTTGGCTATCTGTCCCGCTCATTTTTTGAGCAATAGAATATGTCGCGTTTCAGCAACGGAATTTGAAAAAGTTTTCATCAATATTTCAGTTTCTTATTCCATGTAACTTTCATGATTTCAAATCTTAATATATTTTGAATTCGAGATATTAATACCAACTATGTTTTAGATCAACGAAGCGAAGTGTTATTTATCGACGGAAAAATTGCACAAAAGAGGAAAGTTCAAATCTCAATATATTTAGAATTCGAGATATTGATACCAACTTTGTTTTAGATCAACGAAGCGAAGTGTTATTAATCGAAAGAAAAATTCCACAAAACAGGAAACCATCAGAACAGAAACCAACGACCGGTGATGAGTTTCTCATTCCTATTTACGAAATTCAATCAATTCATTTCAGATTTCATTTCGGATATTTCTACCAAATTCAATATTTAGGGGTAGGTTCCTGATGGGTTAGGTATATACAGTGTTTCTCATTTAGGAAAAAATTGTTGGCTATCTGTTCCGTTCATTTTTTGAGTAATAGAAGAATATGTCGTGTTTCAGCAACGGAGTATGAAGTAGTTTTCTTTAATATTTCATTTTCTCATTCCATATAACTTTCAAATCTTAATATATTTTGAATTCGAGATATTGACACCAACTATCTTTTAGATTAACGAAGCGAAGTGATATTAATCGACGGAAATATTGCACGAAAGAGGGAAGTTCAAACCTCTTTTTTTATAGAATTCGAGATATTGATACCAACTATGTTTTAGATCAACGAAGCGACGTCTTATTAATCGACGGAAGAATTGCACAAAAGAGGAAACCAGATCAGAAACCAACGACCGGTGATAACTTTTCCATCACTATTTACGAATTTCATTCAATTCATTTCGAATATTTCTTCCAAATTTATTATTTGTTATGGAAGGCGATATATCATAGAACATTTTTTGATAGTCACCTTTAAGTCTCAATGGTGACACGACAGGTACCCTTACGAGGGGAGAGTATCAACCCTTGGCATCGGTAAACCCTCGTTGCAACCGGGGTAGGCGCCTGGTGGGTTAGGTATATACAGTGTTTCTCATTTAGGAGAAAATTGTTGGCTATCTGTTCCGCTCATTTTTTGAGCAATAGAAGAATATGTCGCGTTTCAGCAACGGAATTTGAAAAAGTTTTCATCAATATTTCAGTTTCTTATTCCATGTAACTTTCATGATTTCAAATCTTAATATATTTTGAATTCGAGATAATAATACCAAGTATGTTTTAGATCAACGAAGCGAAGTGTTATTTATCGATGGAAAAATTGCACAAAACAGGAAACCAGACCAGAAACCAACGACCGGTGATAAGTTTCTCATTCCTATTTACAAATTTCGATCAATTCATTTCATTTCAAATATTTCTTCCAAATTTAATATTTGGGGGTAGGTTCCTGATGAGTTAGGTATAAACAGTGTTTCTCATTTAGGAGAAAATTGTTGGCTATCTGTTCCATTCATTTTTTGAACAATAGAAGAATATGTCGCGTCAAAGCAACGGAATTTGAAAAAGTTTTCGTTGATATTTCAGTTTTTTATTCCATGTAACTTTCATGATATTAAATCTTAATATATTTCGAATTCGAGATATTAATACCAACTATGTTTTAGATCAACGAAGCGAAGTGTTATTAATCGACGAAAGAATTGCAAAAGAGGGAAGTTCAAATCTCAATACATTTTGAATTCGAGATTTTGATACCAACTATGTTTTAGATCAACGAAGCGACGTGTTATTATTCGACGGAAAAATTGCACAAAAGAGGAAACCAGACCAGAAATAACCAACGACCGGTGATAAGTTTTCTATCACTATTTACGAATTTCATTCAGTTCATTTCGAATATTCCTTCCAAATTTATTATTTGTTATGGAAGGCGATATATTATAGAACATTTTTTGATAGTCACCTTTAAGTCTCAATGGTGACACGACAGGTACCCTTACGAGGGGAGAGTATCAACCCTTGGCATCGGTAAACCCTCGTTGCAACCGGGGTAGGCGCCTGATGGGTTAGGTATATACAGTGTTTCTCATTTAGGAGAAAATTGTTGGCTATCTGTCCCGCTCATTTTTTGAGCAATAGAATATGTCGCGTTTCAGCAACGGAATTTGAAAAAGTATTCATCAATATTTCAGTTTCTTATTCCATGTAACTTTCATGATTTCAAATCTTAATATATTTTGAATTTAAGATATTAATACCAACTATGTTTTAGATCAACGAAGCGAAGTGTTATTTATCGACGGAAAAATTGCACAAAAGAGGAAAGTTCAAATCCCAATATATTTAGAATTCGAGATATTGATACCAACTTTGTTTTAGATCAACGAAGCGAAGTGTTATTAATCGAAAGAAAAATTCCACAAAACAGGAAACCAGAACAGAAACCAACGACCGGTGATGAGTTTCTCATTCCTATTTACGAAATTCAATCAATTCATTTCATTTCGAATATTTCTACCAAATTCAATATTTAGGGGTAGGTTCCTGATGGGTTAGGTATATACAGTGTTTCTCATAAAGGGAAAAATTGTTGGCTATCTGTTCCGTTCATTTTTTGAGTAATAGAAGAATATGTCGCGTTACAGCAACGAAATTTGAAAAAGTTTTCATCAATATTTCAGTTTCTTATTCCATGTAACTTTCATGATTTCAAATCTTAATATATTTTGTTTTCGAGATAATAATATCACCTATGTTTTAGATCAACGAAGCGAAGTGATATTAATCGACGAAAAGATTGCACGAAAGAGGGAACTAGACCAGGAACCAACGACCGGTGATAAGTTTCTCATTCCTATTTACAAATTTCGATCAATTCATTTCATTTCGAATATTTCTTCCAAATTCAATATTTAGGGATAGGTTCCTGATGGGTTAGGTATATACAGTGTTTCTCATTTAGGAAAAAATTGTTGGCTATCTGTTCCGTTCATTTTTTGAGTAATAGAAGAATATGTCGCGTTTCAGCAACGGAATATGAAGTAGTTTTCTTTAATATTTCATTTTCTCATTCCATATAACTTTCAAATCTTAATATATTTTGAATTCGAGATATTGATACCAACTATCTTTTAGATTAACGAAGCGAAGTGATATTAATCGACGGAAATATTGCACGAAAGAGGGAAGTTCAAACCTCATTTTTTTATAGAATTCAAGAATTTGATACCAACTATGTTTAAGATCAACGAAGCGACGTCTTATTGATCGACGGAAGAATTGCACAAAAGGAAACCAGACCAGAAACCAACGACCGGTGATAACTTTTCCATCACTATTTACGAATTTCATTCAATTCATTTCGAATATTTCTTCCAAATTTATTATTTGTTATGGAAGGCGATATATTATAGAACATTTTTTGATAGTCACCTTTAAGTCTCAATGGTGACACGACAGGTACCCTTACGAGGGGAGAGTATCAACCCTTGGCATCGGTAAACCCTCGTTGCAACCGGGGTAGGCGCCTGATGGGTTAGGTATATACAGTGTTTCTCATTTAGGAGAAAATTGTTGGCTATCTGTCCCGCTCATTTTTTGAGCAATAGAATATGTCGCGTTTCAGAAACGGAATTTGAAAAAGTTTTTATCAATATTTCAGTTTCTTATTCCATGTAACTTTCATGATTTCAAATCTTAATATATTTTGAATTCGAGATATTAATACCAACTATGTTTTAGATCAACGAAGCGAAGTGTTATTTATCGACGGAAAAATTGCACAAAAGAGGAAAGTTCAAATCTCAATATATTTAGAATTCGAGATATTGATACCAACTTTGTTTTAGATCAACGAAGCGAAGTGTTATTAATCGAAAGAAAAATTCCACAAAACAGGAAACCATCAGAACAGAAACCAACGACCGGTGATGAGTTTCTCATTCCTATTTACGAAATTCAATCAATTCATTTCAGATTTCATTTCGAATATTTTTACCAAATTCAATATTTAGGGGTAGGTTCCTGATGGGTTAGGTATATACAGTGTTTCTCATTTAGGAAAAAATTGTTGGCTATCTGTTCCGTTCATTTTTTGAGTAATAGAAGAATATGTCGTGTTTCAGCAACGGAGTATGAAGTAGTTTTCTTTAATATTTCATTTTCTCATTCCATATAACTTTCAAATCTTAATATATTTTGAATTCGAGATATTGACACCAACTATCTTTTAGATTAACGAAGCGAAGTGATATTAATCGACGGAAATATTGCACGAAAGAGGGAAGTTCAAACCTCTTTTTTTATAGAATTCGAGATATTGATACCAACTATGTTTTAGATCAACGAAGCGACGTGTTATTATTCGACGGAAAAATTGCACAAAAGAGGAAACCAGACCAGAAACCAACGACCGGTGATAAGTTTTTCATTATTATTTACGAATTTTATTCAATTCATTTCGAATATTTCTTCCAAATTTGATATTTAGGGGTAGGTTCCTGATGGGTTAGGTATATACAGTATTTCTCATACAGGAAAAAATGGTTGGCTATCTGTTCCGTTCATTTTTTGAGCAATAGAAGAATATGTCGCGTTTCAGCAACGAACATCGAAAAAGTTTTCATCAATATTTCAGTTTCTTATTCCATGTAACTTTCATGAGTTTATTGAAATGCACAGTTTTCATTTACTTAAAAATATAGTATATTCGAAATGTATGCACAATATGTACAAGGAGAAAAAAATCGCAATGAGAAACTTCTCAGTCGAAAAAATCGGTATCTTCAAGTTCTGGTGGCATAAAGGTTCCTTCTTGTCCCTCCTCCGGTTTCCCATAACCTTAAACACAAAATCACAAACTATCACAAACCCAAAGATCCATCTAGCATCTTACCCAGCTTCTTCATCAGCCCGGTAGGCGCATTCCTAAGGTGCATCGGTACCGCAGGTTGCCGCCCCTTCCATGTCCCCACCACAGTCTTCGCTCTGCCCAGCGCCTCATCCGCCTCCCTCGACTTGGGCGCACGCGCCAAATAAATCGCGCACTGCGCCAGTAAAACGTCCGCCTCGGGCATGCCCAACAGCTGGCAACCCTGCATAGTCGCCACGGCCAACGGCAGGGCGGCCGGATCGGCGTTGCCCACGTCTTCGCTGGCCGCCCGCACTAGCCGGCGAGCGATGAAGCGGGGGTCCTCGCCGCCCGCTAACATCCGAGCGGTCCAGTAAAGGGCGGCGTTGGCATCGCTACCCCGTATCGACTTGTGCATGGCCGATACGAGGTTGTAGTGTTCTTCGCCTTGCCGGTCGTACAGCATGTGGCACTTCTACCACGAAAATCAGCGAATTTACAACATTATTGTTTATAATCTCTGGTAGAAGTCCATGTTTGCTCAAAGTGGACTGGAATTTTTAAAAGGAGGAAGAAAAGCTCAAAGTACATCTTCAGCCGTATTTTAGAATGCCACTTGTTATATCATGTCATTAAGACTTTGACTTATGTCAAGGTTCTTTTATTTAATTCCGTGTTTCTAACCTTGTTAAGTTGGATTTAACCTCAGAACCAATAGGTCGCGTGCAAGAACTGTCAGATGACCGACCCTGGAGGCAAAACATATTTGTTTAAAAGTGATCGAAATAGTTTTCCACAATTATTTTGGCATATGAATCGTATTTTTCCGCTATTCATCAATTCGCTAATGCCATCACATTGTGCTGTTGTAAAATGCACAAAAACTGCAGCGGAAGATGAAGAAATCCAGATGGTACATTATGATTCAAAAGTAAGTACCTACTATAGTCACTCACATAGTTTTCATTTTTGAAATTTGGTTATTTCTCTGATTTCTCATCGGAATTCCTTCTGCAATAGGATCAGCTAATAGAAGATTGGATTCATGCAATCAATCGGTATGACTGGTCTGACATGCTGACAATCGTGTGTGTTGTAGACATTTTCAATCTATTAGCAGCATTAGCTTGTATTGCAGAAGTGGCAGAAGGCAGAAGGAATTTTAATAAGGAATGACAACATTTCATAATGCTAACTATGTGAGATTACTATTTACCTGAAAAATCATATTCCCTAGTCTCTTGCTGCATTTTTTTTGCATTGTACAACAGCACAATGCGAAGGCATGCTTGAATTAATGAATAACGCAAGAAACACGATTCGTATGCCAAAATATTGTGAAAAACTATTTCAACCTTTTGATTCCTCTGTAACCAAATAAAAAAGTGAGGTTGTGTTTCAATAATTCACAGAAGAATGAGGTTGTGTTTCAATATTTTGCCTCCAGGGTCGGTCTTCGTGCACGCGACCTATGAACTCAATATAAATAAACAACTGGAAGGGACCCTCTGTGAACGACGAGTGAGGCAAAAATATTTTAGGAAATAGCCACAATGCTGGAAGTGGAATGAAATGTTAAATAAATACAAATCCACCATTGTTGTTTATTTTATGAACATTGTGTGGAAATGACTTAGAGCTTTTTGTATTTATTTAACATTTCATTCCACATTGAGCATTGTGACTATTTCGTAGTTGAAATTACGCCAGTCGGGCAACCAGCCGTATGGGAATTTCAGTTTTGGCGCCCAGTCGCCATCTTGAAATTTTCATCTGTCAATTTCACTCCAAAATAAAGAATTCATGCATCAATTTCATTCATTTTTTTCAGTCGACCCATTCAAAAAATTAAAGGGGGAGGACATTGAAGAAAAGCACCAGACCAAAACAATTGCATACAAACAAACTCACCTCAGTGAATTTGTATGCTAGATGGCTCTGAAGTTACAATTTTCCAAGGTTGGTAGAACTGAAAGATAATCATCAGTTCTACCAACCTGGCAATTTTCAAATTGTTTTTGCTTCATTAGTCTGAAATGACTCATGAGATTTTACTCAAATTTTGTTTGTTGGCATAACTTTATTGGGAAATAAAACCCATATCATGATTGTGATGAATATCATTCCATGGGCATAGAACCTGATTTTTTCAGTAAATAAACATCTAAAACTCCTATGCCAATGTGATAGATATTTCCTACATTTACTGAGACATCATGAATAGTTATTCAACTCAATTCAATGAACTGTATATCTGGAATGAGATCTCCCACATAATTTTATAAAAAAAAAAAATAATCATCATGTGACTTGAACATAGTGCTAATGGATTAGCACAGCCCTGAATAAAATTGTTCAAAACCATATCAAAACCATGTAAATGAAAAGCATTAACTTGCAATATTTTTGAATGTATTTCATATTAGTATCAATATGAAGTCTATAATAATTATTGTTATTTGTATTAATTTAGTGATTCCTCATTTTTAAAGCATAATGTTGAATTGGTTTCAGATATTCAGTGGACATTTTTGAAAATCTATGTATCATATAAAAGAAATATTAGAAAATGTAACTACCTACCTAATGCTTCTATGGAATCTCACACAACCTATTCAAATTCTTGAAATCAAAAAATCCCCATTCTCTTTAAAACAAGATAAGGAAATTCTGTACTTACTTTCACACCTTCTTTGATATCCTCAATACTGATCAATTTCCCACTACTATTATTGTGCTGTATCACCAACTGTAGATTATTCAAAGCTATTCTAGCATCTCCATCACAAAAATCTGCTAAAAATTGTAATGCAGCACTCTCAATTGACACTCTGAAACAATTATCCAATTGCATATATCACAAAATACAATATCTATTCAATTACTACTTTGTACCAGCTCCACACTTTGCTTCTGCGCCTTCATGGATAATAGAAACATCAAAACTTTTTGCAGCATTTTCCAGTATCTTCATCAAAGTATCTTGCCCCAGTTTTTCCATGACAATCACCCTACACCTACTCAGCAAAGCAGAATTTATAGAAAAAGATGGATTCTCAGTGGTAGCACCTACTAATGTTATCTCCCCCTTTTCAACACTCAGCAACATGGTGTCTTGCTGTTTCTTGTTGAATGCATGAATCTCATCCATGAATAACACTGTTTTCCTACCATATTTCATCTCATTTTTTGAAACAGTTATTACACTCTGTACATCTTTGACTCCACAACTTGCTGCACAAAGACTGGCAAATCTGAGCTTCTTAGGATTTTCCTTGCAGATGTGATTGATTATCCCTGCTAGTGATGTTTTCCCACATCCAGGTGGACCCCAAAGAATCATGTTTGGTATTTCTCCTTGCTGTAATAGGTTGTGTAGCACAGTGTTTTTACCTAGAACCTTACTCTGGCCGAAAAACTCTCCTAGTGTCTTTGGTTGCACTTGTTTGGCCAAAGGGACCAAGAAGGATAAGCTACCATTCATTTGCGGTTCATTACTCTGTTTACTAGGTTCACTAGGTGGAGTCTCACGAGCCATGTCTCTTGGTGATTTCTGATTGAACACTAGTTTAGCTTGGCTATTTTGTTGTTCAGGAGAAGGTGAACGTTTTCGTTTTTCATCAGGACAGTTCAGGAATATGCATCTATTTGCGTGTTGTTGGATATCATTAACGAGGAAACTTTTGTTACAAATTGGACAAGTAGTATGATCCTTGTCTTCCATTTTATTGAAAGTTATCCAGAAAATAATTTCAAAATTTCACCTAACCTAACCTCATAAAATATATTTGAAGTTTGGCGCTACTCAATCGGCAAAGCAGATTACTTCACCATCAACAAACCAACGCTAGCTGCTTCTTCTTCTTCTCTTTTTTCAAAAGATACGGACATAGGCCACAAAGTATATCAGTGCAATATGATTCGGCGCTACTGAAAAGAAATTCGAAAAAGACGCTATCACGACGCCGACGCCTTTTGTCGCCGAGGCGTCGCTGCTCTCATGTACGACGTCGTATTTTTAGCCATGATTATGAACAAGGTAATAGATATGGCATAGTACAACAAACCCGTCTGGTTATTCAACATAATATATTCACTTCCGAAAATATGATCCAGCAAAGGTTTTATTCACGAAAATACCATCGGGTGTTTCCCAGCACGTACAAATTTTCATGGATCGTGTGCCATATGAATATTTAATACGTAATTTGGTGAGTGATTTCGGAAACTTTTGGCATTAGCAGGTGTTGAGTTGATGTTTTGAAATGTGCGTTTTTCTTCAGCAAAATGGCTCTAGTCATGTTGCCAAGCGACTTGCCATGGTGGGATTCGGTGAAAAGACAGCTCAAACAAATTTCCGAATGCAGGAATTCCAAAGATTTGGTAGAACGAATGCACAAAATATACGAAATGTGCAAGTATACTTTATGAAATTTGATCGTGGTAATTCCAATTACTAACTCTGTGGGTTTTAGCGTGAGTTTAGAACCTGATGAAGAAACAGTCGATCCCAAACAGTTCACTAGATTCCAAAATTTTTTAGACAATGACCTCACGAATGCAGAAAGAAACGTTTTTTTCTCTAAAACCTTGCCGAATATGGTGTCTAGGGCTCTGCAGTTGAAAGAACTTAGACCTAGAGGAGGCCTGCACTTCAGTTTGCAACAACAATGTTAGTATATGATGAAGAAATCAAATAATCGTTGATTTATTTTTCTTGAATTTTTAGCTGATTGTACAGAGCTACAATATTCCTTTGTTTCCTCATTGATAGCTAATGCTTTCTTCTCAACATTTCCCAAAAGGACTAGCAGAACTCATCCTACCTTGCAAAATTTCAATTTCGGCGAATTTTTCAAAACATTGAACAGCAATGTACAAAAATCAAAACTCAAAAGTGTTCTGTATTATTTTGAATGGCTAGAGAGCGCCGAAAATTCAAATGGTTCCTTGAGAATTCTCAGACAGGTAAAATTGGGATAATAAACATGTATAAAATATGTAAAATTTCAAGAGCAGCTAATTTTCAGGTAATGAGCAGTAAAGAATGGTTGACAATAGAAGACTGGCTGGAATGTAATCTACCATTATGTCACCTAAAAATCAAACATGATGGAAAATTAGACAGATCCGAGGAAGATTCCCTTCAAATTTGCTTTGCAAGCTCTAAAATCGGAGGTGACGTTTTGGAAAACGGATTTGCACAGGTACAAAAATCATAACAAGAAAGTGTAAATTATACAGGGTGGTACCTTAGACGTTCACGGAGAACGGGACATTGTGATACTGTACAACAGTAGCAGCAGCTGCTTTTTGATTGGTGATTTTCTATAATAATATTTATTATGATGTAGAATAGGTGTAGGCATCACAACAAAAATCAGTAGAAGCAGCATAAGATAAATTCTCACATGGGTGCATTTTTCTTGAAACGTTTCATTTTGGTTTCGTTCAAAACGTTCTTGCAACAGAAAAATATTCGTAAAACCAGAAAAAAAACGCCTTGGTTATGTTTCAAAGAGTTCACAATAGGGTAAAATTGAAATGTTTCTGATGGAAGGTTTCATGTTTAGTGGGTAGGATCATTCTGAAAATTTGATTTGCTCTTGGTCTATCGATCTAATATTTTCAGCAATGCAGCGTTGCCGCTTATACCAGAAAGTAGTAGCACTTCTGATATTTCAAATAAAACACCCTTATTCATTTCATTGCATTTCTAGATTCTCCCTGAAGAGCTGATTTTATTGATGTATCACACTTGGGGCCTAGCGGGAATGATTACAGAGATATAGGGTGTTCAAAATCGAGATTTTACAACTTTCGATTTCTTTATTTTTGTATCGAATAAAATATTCATTAATCGGTCGAAACGGCTTTCATGTCCCTATCTTAACTTTTGTATCACTATATATCTACTGACCTTTAATTGGAACAAATACAGGGTGGTTCAAGAGTCAGAATTCTGATCACCCTGTATCAGTTCCAATTAAATGTCAGTAGATACTAGATCAGAAGTTAAGAAAGTGACATGCAAGACGATTTGACCGATAATGAATAGTTTCGACATGAAAAAATCCTGAAGCTGAAAATTCTCGATTTTGAACACCCTATATCTCTGTAATCCGTCTCGCTAGACCCCAAGTGTGATATATCGATGAAATCAGCATTTCAGGGAGAATCTAATGATTCAATAAAATACAGGGTATTCTATTTGAAATAACAAAGTTGATTCTACTTTTCGATATAAGCGGCAACACTGCATTGTCGAAAATATTTTACATCGATAGACCAAGACTTTAGTAACCAAATTTTCAGAATGACCCTATGTCGTCCCATTCTCCGTGAACGTATCAAATACCATCGACCGCATGCCCCACCCTGTATATAGTCACATTAATAATGATAGAAATAAGGTGGTGTGACCCGGTTGTAATTTCAATTATAGGAATGCATAAACTTGGTAACTGCTCCAGAACTTTTGGCTGTTCTTCTAAACGTAGAAGCCCTAGAAGACAACGAAGTTTTGACTGTAGAAAATGTGCGACACATATCAAGAATAACGGATCCAAAACAACGTGCACTATTCGAAAAAATCGAATCACCAAAACAGGTAAAATAATTTTTTCCGCACTAAGGCAGAAAAAACTTTCAACACTGAAATGAGTGTAGAAAAGAGGAATTTGTTTTCAGATAACCGTATGTTGTATGGATGCCGAAGATTACACCAAACTGCCCATAGGTCAATACGAAGAAGACAATATACTGAGGGAATTGAACAAGTGCCTTCTGGGGTTCCAACAAAAACAAACTAAATGTAACGAAAAAGGAACTCCACAAACGCCGCACAACAATAGAAGAAGACTGTCTCCTATTGGAGAATCAATTGGCAAGTTCAATTTGAGAAATAAAATGGAAAAACAAATTCCTTTCAATTATTAAAGTTTATTATTAACTAAGTTTGAAACCAAAGGCAATATCGGATTTTCAAAGTTCAATTAGCTTCTTTTCCTAGATCTCTCGATTTCAAAATCTCTTCCGATTCATATTTTCAGGCGAATTAGACGAGAAATGACAACATTGTCCGAATTTTCTTCAATTTCCAAACTTTCACTGGACTCCTCAACTTCAGAGACCCCACGATATAAATTTTCAGGCATATCGCAAAAGAAATGATAATATATCGTCCGCCATCATCATCAAAATGTCAAATGTTGACTGGAAATTTCGGTTCCCCAACTCAAAAAACCCCGATATCAATTTTCAGTCATATCGGACACAAAATGTCAAACTCTCCGCCATCTTGCCGGCGCCATGTTGAATATTTCAATTCAGAATGGAAATTCTTGTTCTTCAACCTCAAAAACTCCCTGAGATGGATTTTCAATCGAATCAGCAGAGAAATGTCAAACTCGTCCGCCATGTTGGAGGCGCCATTTTGGCAACGAAAGTGCCAAATTGCATGGTTACAAGAGCTATATACACCTGTCCATCAACATAAAAAACACCCCGATAACAAATTTCAGTCATATCGGACCAGAAATAATGAGAAACTCGTCCGCCATCTTGAATTCCTAAATTTTGTACTTAAAACGTGGTGAGAAAACATCAAAGGACATCCCAATTTTTTTTAGGATCGACTTTGTAACAGACAGACACAAAAATGCGACCTAATAAAAAGCTAGTAAAAACTTCAATTGACATCCCAATTTTTTTAGGATCTACCCTGTCTGATACAGTGAATGTTCCAATGATAACACAACAGTCTTGTAGTACAAATCGCAGTGGTTCAAACTCACCAGTTTCTGAAAACAACAACACTTTGGGACAAAGGCTTTGTGTCCAATTGAACATGGACAAAATCATGCAAAACCGAGGAAAAACAGCGAACAGCGATTCGCTAGTTCACAGCAGAAGAGGAAGGTAAAAAGTTATGTTCAAAACTACTCGGTACGAACCGTGTAACTAGCGCCCTCTATGAGAGTCAGGTATAAAAACGAATGCATGCAATGTGTCAGATTCCAAGAAACATCCATACAAAATTTCATCACAATGTTGCCAGTTGTTTCGAAATAATCTTGAAAAATGTGTAAAAACATCATTTTTTCAACACCTTGTATCTTGAAACGGATGCCGTTCACTGAGCAGACCTAACTTATTTTGCAGTGTTCTACCTACCCTAGCAAGGGGGTTAGTTTTTTTTTGAAATACCCTGTATATACATTTATTACTCATTTTGTAAAATTAATTTGAAGAGAGCGGGTCGAATTATCATACAATTTATATGATTAACTGACGCGTAATAATAATACAGGGAATTATAATAATAAATACGTGTCAAAATATTTCTCAGTAGGTTATGAAATGTTTCAGTAAATCAGTAAATCAATATGCAAATCAGAAGATTTCCTGAAAATTTAGCAGAACTGCAACCCTGCAGGTCGATGAAAAAATCATTTTGACTACTCCACTGTCCTTTTTCAACTTCATAGCGCCCGTTTTTTGATAAAATCACATTTGGTAGATTCCTTCAACATATCGAAAGATTTTTGCCTAGAAAACATTGTTTTTTTTCAGATTCATCGTTCTTGGATCTTCAGGAGAATGTTTACCAATCTCGAGAGTTCCTTTAGAAGACGAAAAAAGTGACTACTCGAGCTTCAGTTCTTCTGAAAATGAATTCCACAGCGCCAAAACCAGCTTAGACGATGGTGAGTACAGGGTGATTCGAAAATTAATGTCGCAAATTTTTTGACACCCGAATAAAAAGTTCATGTGTCTGAAAATCTAGTCTAAAAATCTACACCTTGGTGTATAAATAACTATTGAATCTTGAGTCTGAATGAATAATTTTATCTGTAATACAAATAATGTTGTTTCTTCTTGAGACTGTTGAACATAGATACATTCTTGATCTGATTTAGGATGATATAAGAGAATCAGAGAAATAAGTATTTTTTCAGTTCTTTTTCGAATTTCTCAATGCTTAATGTTTTCTTTAGAATTGTTCCATTGTATAAAATAGCTCTCTTATCGGTGAGTTTTTGAACTTCGTTATTTTGTAACTTTAATATGGTGATTTCGTCTATTTTGATGAGTTCTAAATCCTGTTAAAAAAGTGCCTCACCTAAAATATCCCATGAAGTATGGCCACATACTCTAATAACACCCTGTATAGCGCCTACACAGAAATGCGAATGAAATGAGCTTTCAGGGAGTGAAGATGAAAATTATCACAAAAGATACAGCATAGACTTGGAAAATCCCGAAAGGAGAAACCTGTTCGCTCAGAAACTCAAAGACGTTCTAAGAAAAGAGGTCACAAGTAATACAGAGTCATCTAGCGACGAATCTAGTTATGCTGTTGGCATTTCTGTGGCTGGTTCCGGATTGGAGGACCAAGATATTAGGTCAAAAACATTCATTCATTTGTTGGAAGAATGTCTGAATTTTTTTTTTTTTTTAGGGTTAGGCGGGGTGGTTCTACTGGTTTCGCCTTAAGAGAGGACTCTTTAGACGAGAATTTCCTGGACTGTTCTTTGAAACAGGAAAAGCAATGGATAGACAAGTTCAAGAGCAAGCAGTCTGCTCTAATCAGAAAAGAATCGAATAAATCGTCGGAATATAGTTTCAGTACAGAATACAGGTAAAAAACAGTGATAGCTTTTTCTCCAGTTCTACAATTTTTATTTTTCAGCTCTGAACTGGAAGAAGTGTATGAGCAATTTTCCCGATGGCTTGAAAATCCATTATTGGAAACAGAAAAAGGTACTAAAAGAGAATTGGATACGAGAGAGTTGGCTGTAGTACGATTTGCAGGTATTTCAATAAAAATACATAGGAAGTGGAATCAACATGAAAAAAAAAAACGTGATTTTTTTTTTAGGATCAATTTTGAAACGTACTTTGAGCGAATCCTTCGTGGGCATACCGGTTCCTATGACAGAAAATTGTGATTCCAACCCTGGGGTAGATACAGAGTATTGCACAAAAAAGAACAAACTAGTATTAAACGCGAAATCTCTCAGTCTGGAACTTGCCAAACAGAAACACAGACTCGCAGCTCAACTGGTAAGAAAAAAAAAATGACTATTCAATTCACCTCCCTCAGTATATTTTTTTACTGAACAAACTCTTAATTTCTCTTAACAGAGTAGTGATTCTTCTACAAAGAAGAATAGTTCTCCCTCACAGGCTATTCAACAGTCGGAAAATTTTACAAAAAAACGGAAATTTTGGATTGCTTCTTGCATCACTGAAGCAATAGTACAGACCTTAGAAGATATTTCGGTTAATGTGAGTTTACCGCAAAGCTTACAGGTAAACAAATACCTACCTAATCGTCTTAACAAAAAAAAACTGTTCATGTTCTCTAACAAAAGTAACAAGTGAAGGAGAATTATTATTCTAACACAAACACTTCATCATCCTGTACACACAAGTTACTGCACACATGTTTTGTTTTGTTGCACGCAAAATTACATTTTCCAGCAGAAAACCCAAAACATTCCTTTCCAGAAAGTTCTTCGAATCGTTCTTTTTTGTATTTTGTAATTTCTGAGACCTCTTTCCCAGTTCTGTGTGGAAATTTCCAGTTCTAGATCAAAATGTCATGTTTTAGATCTAAATACCAAGTTCTACGTGCCAAGTCAGATTACTAAAAGCTTAGTGCGAATTCCAAGATTTAAGTTGGAATCCTGAGTTTTAAGTCGACATCTCCAGTTCTAGATCGAAATTTCAAGGGCCAAGTCAAAATATCAAGTTGTAGGTCGAAATTCCAAGAGCCAAGCCAGATTTCTACAAATTCATTCTGAATTCCGAGTTTCAACTAGATAAATCTAGTTTTAGATCAAAATATCAAGTTCTAGGTCAAAATACCCAATGATACTAGGTCAAAATTCCGAGTTCCAAGTCAGAAAATTTCTGTCCGTATCCCAAGAGCTAAGTAGGATTCTCGAGATCAAGTAGGATTCCAGTCGATATTCCCAGTTCTAGATCGAAATTTCAAGTTCTAGAGGTTAAAATATCAAGTTCTATATCGAAATTCCAAGTTCCAAGTCAAATTTCTAGAATCTCAGTACGAATTCCGAGCTCCAAGTTGGATTTCAAGTGATTCAGGTGAAAATATCAAGTTCTAGGTCGAATTTCCAAGTGCCAAGTCAGGTTTCTAGAAGCACAGTGCGAATTTCAAGTCCAAATTGCAAGAATTGAGTTAGATTCCTGAGTTCTGAGTCGACATGTCCAGTTCTAGATCGAAATGTCAAGTGCCAAGTCAAAATATCAAGTTCTAGGTCAAAATAACCAATAATTCTAGGCCGACATTCCGAGTTCCAAGTCAGATTTCCAGAATATCAGTCCGTATCCCAAGATTTAAGTACATATTTCCAGTTCTAGATCGAGATTTCAAGTTCTAGAGGTCAAAATATCAAGTTCTAGATCGAAATTACAAGTACAAGTGCTTCAAAAATTTGATAAACGGCTTTTTCCAGCTGTCCCAGATCTCGTCGAGACCAGACACCGGCCCTAGGGCTGTTTCTACGGGCAACTGGGGTTGCGGGACGTCCCGCAAAGGGGACGTCCAACTCAAGGCCATCGTCCAATGGTTGGCGGCCAGCGTGGCGGGTATTCCCCATTTGGAATATCGGACGGCAGGCCATCAGCAGCTCGTTAAATTGGACACGGTGAGAATCTAGTTTCTTTTTTATCTCTTGGAGTGCACGAAAGGAAATTCCTATTATGTTCGATTTCCAAATGGAACACCCTGAATTTTATTCCATAATCGGTTAGAGATTATTATTTGGAATTCAAGGAAACCAGGTTTGATTGGGTTATTTCAAACGATTACGAAGATATTCACGTTCGAAGTTTCTGTATACGGGGTGGGGTGTATCTAAATAACACCGAAAAAATGCAAGGGGTGATTCATTGTGATATCTTAGAAAATGAAGTTCATATGAACATGTGTCCTAACTTGCTTCGTTTTATAGATACATGGTATTGATATTTCCTTGAAACATCGTTTTTTTATTCATTACTCAATTGCATTTTCATCAATTACGATAAAACGTTGTGGTTTTGTTAATAGTAATATGGAGCTTCTTCTGGTGCAACTAGATTCAAAATAATATTTCCATTGGCATCACAGTGGGTAAATTTATCGATATTTGTGGTGAATGTCATTGTACGCCACCGGTTTCATATTTTTATTAGATTGAACTATTGAAATAACAACTTTTTCATCCTCTGTGTGTTTTTTTTATATAGCTTAGTTGTTGAGGAAACAATAAAAAATCGATTTGACTACAAATTAAATGTAGGTGTTTTCAAGACTTCCATAGAGATTGATCAATAACCCCAATTAGAATCATTTTGAAATTTTGGGGCTTTCTCAGTCCCCAACCATACTGAATTTTGGCACCATGAAAGCTTATACATGGGAGTTAGAAATAAAAACAATGATTACTTCCAACTTCAACATCCTGTATCCCAAAAACGGAGCAAGCAAGGACACATGTTTATATGCATTTTATTTGCTAGAAGATCGATAGGAATCACCCCTTGAATAATCGACGTTAGACAAAATAAAAACCGATATTTTGACAACCGTAGGTGAGAAGGATACTGATCGACAGACGGTGGACGGTCAAGGATTTGGCTCAGGCAGCGCTCCGCTACTCGCACCGAGTGCTCAGGGGCAAAGCCCTGAGCGGGACATTGTTCGAGGAATTGATAGGGGCCGATAGGACGATGTAGGGGACAATATTTTCCCATTTAGGGAAAGGGTGGAGGGATGCTGAGTGCGAGAAAAAATCCGTTTCAAAATTCTGACAAAAAGATCAGAATTTTGAGATACAAGCCAAAACTTTGATTGCAGATAATAATGCGATTTGTTCCCATGGGATAAAGTTTTAATTAATTCATGACTTAAAATAAGAACATTTGAATTAATTCACGACCATTCCGACCCTGTTGACTTGCATTCAAAAATTCTGATTTTTTTGGCACAATTTTGACATGTTGAGTTGCTATGAGGAATTTTAGATACAGCTCAAAATTCTGATAAACATTCAGAAATTCAAAACTCAAATTTATTTCCTCTTAATACAGTGGTGAATTCAGATTATTTGCAAAACAGTGCCTGAACTGATTGCCCAAAATGCCCAAAAGCCTCGTCTTCCTAAACCACTGAACTTTTATACAGATTTTTGCCAAATTATCTCTAAGACAATATAATGTATCATAAGGATTGTTTATTACAAATTTTAATAAATAAATACAACAGCGTTTAGCGATTTTTTGTCTCTAGAAGAAAATCCCTCTCATTCTCCTACCCAACCCTTGTCTATCATACAGGATGTTGAATTTGTTGACGAATTGATTGAGGTCATTGCAGCCCTTAGTGAGGGTGCCGAGGTAGGTCATCAACCCTACATCATTGCATTGCTGAAAGAAGAACCCATTTGAAACAAGAATATTTTTCGATTTTTTTTGCTTCAAAAGTTACCATACAAATATTCTTGAAAACTTCATTTTATTCAATATGCCATTTTTGATCTGGACCCAAATTTCAATAAATAAGACAGGTTACTTTTTTAAAATGAATATGCCATTTGGCACCTATAAATCTGAATGTTTTCCATTTATTGTATCAATATTTGATGTAAAAATTTCCCAAATGCCATGATATTGAAATCCTATAGATTATCACTTGGAATAATAAGAAGAAACATGCAATCTATATTGATTTTCGTATTTTCTCCAGATATTTTCCAAAATCTATAAGCCAAAATCACATCAACAGATAATCCTTGAAGATCTAATACAGAGAATAAAAAAATTGCAAAAATTCTGAACACCAAACTAAAAATTTTACATTCCAAGAAATTTAACAAGATTCCAAGGAATTCCAAGAAATTAGGGTAATTCTAATGAATTCAAAGACAATACAGGTGGAATTCCAAGAAATTAAGGGAATTCTAATGAATTCAAAGACAATTCAGGTAGTTTATAACATTGTTTGGGTAATTACAAGGAATTCCAGGATAATTCAAGGAATTCCAAATGGTGGAATGAATACTCCAGATTTATTTTCTTCTTGTCAAGTGAATGAAGTTGAGAAGGGATTCCAAACAATTTAATGAAATACCAGGGAATACCAATGAAAAACAACAAAAATACAGAAAATTCCATGAATTTGAAGAATTTTCAGGAAATTATGAATAATTGAGGTTGGGTTTTTTCTTATTGAGTTTATAAACTCCTAGCAATCATCACTTGGAATAATAAAAAGAAACATGCAATCTACACTGATTTTCATATTTCCTCCAGATATTTTCCAAAATCTATAAGCCAAAATTACATCAATAGAGAATCCTTGAAGATCTAATCCAAAGAATAAAAAATTGCCAAAATTTTGTACACCAAACTTGATTAATTTTATGACATTCCAAGCAATTCCAAGAAATTTAACATGATTCCAAGAGATTCCAAGAAATTAGGGGAATTCTAATGAATTCAAAGACAATACAGGTAGTTTTCAACATTTTTTGAGGAATTACAAGAAATTCAAGGAATTCCAAATGGTGGAATCAATACTACAGGTTCATTTTCTTCTTGTCAAGTGAATAAAGTCAAGAAGGGATTCCAAACAATTTGATGAAATACCAGGAAATACCAATAAATAACAACAAAATACGGAAAATTCCATGAATTAGAAGAATTTTCAGGCATTTATGAATAATCAAGGTAGTGTTTTTCTTATTGAGTTTTTTTAGAATTATGAAGGAATTCCAAACATTTCAATGGTTCCAGGGAATTCCACTGAATTCTAAGGAAATACAGGATATTCCATGAAATTTAAGAATTTTTAGGTAAATATATGGAATTACAGTAAACTTTATGAAGAATCTCTAAACAATCCAATGAAACTCAAGAGAATTTCAATGAAATCCAAGAAAATACAGGAAACTACATGAATTTCAAGAATTTTTAGGTAAATATATGGAATTACAGTAAACTTCATGAAGCATCTCTAAACAATTCAATGAAACTCAAGGGAATTTCAATGAAATCCAAGAAAATACAGGAAACTACATGAATTTCAAGAATTTTTAGGGAAATATATGGAATTACAGTAAACTTTATGAAGAATCTCTAAACAATAAAATTCAATGAAACTCAAGGGAATTTCAATGAAATCCAAGAAAATACAGGAAACTACATGAATTTCAAGAATTTTTAGGTAAATATATGGAATTACAGTAAACTTTATGAAGAATCTCTAAACAATTCAATGAAATTCGAGGGAATTTCAATGAAATCCAAGAAAATACAGGAAACTACATGAATTTCAAGAATTTTTAGGTAAATATATGAAATTACAGTAAACATCATGAAGCATTTCTAATCAATTCAATGAAACTCAAGGGAATTTCAATAAAATCCTAGAAAATACAGGAAACTACATGAATTTCAAGAATTTTTAGGGAAATATTTGGAATTACAGTAAACTTTATGAAGAATCTCTAAACAATTCAATGAAACTCAAGGGAATTTCAATGAAATCTAAGAAAATACAGGAAACTACATGAATTTCAAGAATTTGTAGGTAAATATATGGAATTACAGTAAACTTCATGAAGCATCTCTAAACAATTCAATGAAACTCAAGGGAATTTCAATGAAATCCAAGAAAATACAGGAAACTACATGAATTTCAAGAATTTTCTGAAAACTTCACATGGTATTTCAAGACATTTCAAATACCCAGAAAATAATTCATCCAGGTTGAGTTTTTCATTGTTGCCATGAACAATTTGATTAAATTTTAGAGACCTCCAATAAATTCCAAGGAAATACAATTCAGGAAATTCCATGAATTTCAAGAATTTTTAGGGAATTATATGGAATCACAGAACACTTCAAATAATTACAAATTCTTGTCAAGTTAATAAACTTATGAAGGAATTCCAAAAACAATTTGATGAAACTCCAGAAAAATTTGAAGAAATCAAAGAAAACACAGGAAATTGCATGAATTTCAAGGATGAAATGGAATTTCAGGAAACTTTCAAATATGGAATGTAATCCAGGTTGACTTTCTCAAACAATTCCATAAAAATCCAGGAATTACTGAGAGATACCAAGGAGTACAAAGGAATCCCAAGAAACTAATAGGAATTCATGCAAGAAATCACTTGACATTTCAAGAAATCACTATGAATTCTAAGATATTTCAGTTGTATCAGCATTCAAGTTCCTAAACTAAAAAAAGTGCTACTGGGTACTCACATTATAGAAATCCTGCCTGAACCTGGCCCCATCAATGACAGGCAACCTGTGACACAGTGAATAGGCCTCCCTCAAAATCTCATGATTCCTGGGCAACTGGCCTGTCTGCACAGCTTTCATATACTCCAAGACAAGCTTCACTCTGCTGTGCAGCATCTTGATGGCGCTGTGCTGAGCAGTGAGGTGCTCTGCTACCAGAGAGCTCTCACCAGAGTCAGTAGAGGACATTCTAGCCACATGGTCCACTCCTATACGTTCTGCTTCCTCTGTGGCCAAAGTGTAGGTTAGAGGCACAAAAAGCATGGTTGCTTCACCACCTACTAGGTCTATCACAGATTCATACAGATTTACAGGAAGATGCTGAAAAAATAAAGGGCAATAGCAATCAATGTTGTTTTATTGAGTGGCTGTACTCACTTCTATATTCTTATCATAGGAATTCAGCTTTAACATGATTGGTGATTCATTTATTTCACAAATTTGCTTATGTACTTTGATATCTACAGAGTTTGGAGCATCACCAGTAGTATACCACCCAATGAAATCCATATCACTAAACACTTGCTTAACTGAAACAACAGCACACATAAGGTACAAACAACTGAAAAAAAAGGGACTCACATTGCTCTTCCTTCATATTATAATAGTCCTTATCAATGATCACATCTCCTCCTATCACAGTAAATACCAGCTCAAACGAATTCATCACTTCAATGTTCCTGCCTTTTTGTTTGCCGATCAGGGCCCCAATTACTGAAACACACAGAAATCATAATTTCTCTTTGAACCACACCCTAAAGGGTACCTTACCTTGTTGTACGGACCCTTCTTGTGCCCTTTCTCTGGTCCAGTGTTCGGAAACGTTCATGATAACTAGGGGATGTAGGGAGCAAGTTATGGAGCCCGCGGCACCGGAGGCCATAACATTTCTGCCGGAATTTGAGGTGGTATCCATCGATGATTTCGTAGCTTCGGCCATGCTAGCTGTCTCGATTTCGACTTCCATAGCATCCCTTGATTCTTTTGGAGCACTCATGACGACTGGTAATCTAAAAAAATAAAAATCCAGTGGTTATTTCTTCATTTGTTTTCGTTATTTTGTTATGACTTATGACACTTTTGACATATGACAAATATTCTTCTTATTTTTTACATCATCTATCCATGATTATAGTCGTATAATCCTTGTATCTCAATCCTTGGTATAAAAATCAGCAGTACTAAAAAACGTTTAATCAAAATAAAAAATTAGATATAATATCAGATATTTATACAGAACTATGAATGGTACCTAGAAAATTCTGAGAATTTAAGCGTCAAAAATAATACTGTTGCGAAATGCTATGCGATATTTCTTAATTACTTCCTTGATATGGTGGTTTTTGAATTTATTCTATTCCTTGCTGGGTCTTCCAGGAGAGATAGGCATTCCAAAACAAAGCAACGGTCTGCGCAAGTAGTACCTGATGTCGCCAAGGAATAAAGTAGAAATTGAAAAGTTGCACTGCTGGCCAGATCTTGTAGTTTGTCAATATCACATCAAAGTATTTCAGTCGCATTTGCTCCTTCACGAACTTCCAATCGTGCCCTTCCAGCAAATTTATGAGAGTAATGAATATCGCCAAGAAAGTTGGCGCGAATACGATTTGATCCAGTGCCATCTTTTTGAGAGCCACTGACTTTCCTGCATGGCCGAATGTTTTTGTGAGCACCTTGTACCAAACTGAAAGCGTAGGCCCCTAAAACGACTCAATTCGGCCCCCAGAAATCTCGTGCTTCGGTAAGTACTCACCACTATTACTGTTCCAATAGCGAAAAACCGGGCTGTCCTAGCCAAATTGATTTGTTTGAGCGATTTCCGTTCAACGAATGTCTGTGCTATAACGTCTCCTGTTCCCATTAATATCCCAGTTTGGACTGCTTGGACCACAACAAAGTGGTCTCTTAATAATCTCCTGTATAACTGCAAGAGCCCAGTTGATTTGTTCATTTTTTCAAGGGAAAACGGGAAATTCAATCAATTTTGAGGTTAAGTAGTGTCAAAATGGCACACGTGACGTTAAACGTCAAACTGGCCGAAATCGACAGGTCAGAGCGAGATAGCATGATAAACGTATGTCTGATCGATATTTCCATGGTATTCGGCATATACTGGGTGAACCAGCTGTGTATTCGTGCACGTATTGAAATGTGAACCATTTTTTATAATTTTCACATATTAATTATGTCATGATTTAAGAACAACCTCTTGAAACTATTTTGAGAGAGCTTGTGGGTTTCGTCAATATTTTGTCGATTTGGTTCTTGTTCTCCTAGAAGAGAAAACACAGAAAACTGAAGAGGTTTTTTTGTCTTTTCAGACAGTTGTCAGTGCCAAATCTCGACTTTTGTCCAGAAATTATGCCCGCCATGTCATGTCTCTCTTTCTGCACCTCAGAAACTTCAGGAAACTCCCTCGCCGTCTGAACTCTTATCTGCAAAGATCAAACAGAATTGGTCCAAGAGTGGCAGGCCCCAAACTTGGTGGAACCGTTTGCTACAGCAGTAAATTCCTATTGTTATACCATACTCTCCGGAGTGTCATTATGGAAGGTAAAACTGAAAATAGCACCAGCATTAGCCTGAACATAGACGATGAACTTCAACAGGCTCTAGAAAATGGCGATAAAGCATTGCTGAACCTCATGGAGCAACTCAAAAACTTCGTAGTAGTGATCAGCGAGGAATACAGAAACTGTCTTTTGAAGCAAATGGAAATAATGGAGAGAGCTTCTAATGCAGGCCCCTTTTCTGAAGCATGGGATGAAATACCTCAGTACAGAACTTTAGCGGATGAACTTGAGAAGGAATTGAATGAATATTTAACCGTGTTCAACACGTTAGGAAGCATGGCGGGTGAAAAGACTCTGATTGAATTTGTGAGTGGTTCTAGTGAGAACTTGGATCTGGTTGTTGCTATGAAATACAAAGAGTTGGACAAACTACTTAAAAAGGAACTCGAGGAAAACAAGAAGATACATTCGGAGTTTTTACGAATTAAGAGAGACATCATACTGAAGGAAGCTTCAATATAGGTTATTGGCTTCTTTATATTTTATTGTATATACACGGGTTTAGAGAATAAATATGGAAAAAACCTTTTGTACATATTCTGATATACCTAGGCTCCACCTGTTTAGTTCCTTTAGCTTCCAGCTAACCAACAAGTGGGCTATGGACAGTATGGACGTATCATCTCAAAGGTCTCCTCAATACCTGATTGTACGGGACTAATTTTAAGCTCTCGTGCGAGCTCTCGTGTCTCTTGTAGTCACCTAATACGACGTCTCCAATTTACAGTTGCAACTTTAAATAAACAACTCCTAACTTACATTTGCAGCTGTAAATTAGGCAGATGAAATTTCTAAAAATCTCATAATTTACAGTTGCAACTGTTAATTAGAAGATGTGCAAAAAAAGATTTATCTGCCAAATTTACACTATTGCAACTGCAAATAAGGAGATGCGGAGAAAAAAGTTTCGTCTTCCTAATTTACGACAGTTGTAACGAATGGCAAAAAACTTCAATAAAAGTATACACCATATCTAAAATATTTTGTATTCGTGAGTAATGGAGGTATTTAATAGTATATTATGTAACGAGTGTTATAAACATCCTTTTAGTAACGAGTATTTTAAGCACGAGCGGAGCAGAGCGGAGCGAGTGTTTAATAAACGAGTGTTTAATAAACGAGTGTTCAGAAGAGTTTATAAACGCGTTACATACTATGATTTTTCTACGAACTCTACGAACTGCATGCAACCAGCGAGACACGTATAAGTGATATTGGTTGTAGATGTGTCCAGTCCATTGCTTACTAACCTTTGTTTCACGTTTATTGTCATGCTTAGCGCAGATTGAATGAATTGTTCTCAAAGTTGGATGTTTCATTTTTACACTTCTTGGAGATATGCAAGTACCAGAACATTCGATTTCACTCTCGTCTACATTTCGCATATATTTTTAATGAAGAATTCTGATACAAACGAATATTGCTTGAATGATTCTGATACAAAATTTGAAAATAACAGTTGACAGTTAATACAATTGACAGGCCAGATATGTCTCAAATTACTGAAGCTGTGTTTAATATGAACTGTGTTGCCATGGTAATGTGTTTAAGAAATCGTGTTGCCATATGGTAACGTGCATAATATTTTGAATAAATCACAGATCGACAATCCGTGATTAATCGATCATTTAGCGTGGTACATATCCGTACGCTAAATGCCATTTTAGTTATGTGAGTAGAAAAAATATATTTAAAATATTCATGAAGGATTTAAAATAATGAAGAAGGATTCAAAACGTATTTAGAGTATTTAAAGTATTCAAACGGTAACTATAAGATAATGGAAATGTACTGAAGAGAATGAAAAATTAATTAATAGATATTTGAAATAATCCAAAGTATTCAGATATTTAAAATTCAGGGTGTACACCATATTTACAGATTTGTTTGCCCCTCGAGTTGTAACTTTAAATTCGCACTAATTTACAATTATTGCAACTGTAAATAAGCACTAATTCACAGCTTCAGCTGCAAATTAGGCAAACATTCATGAAAAAAAAAATGTTTTAGGATGGCGGCAGTTCAATGTGTTTTTTTTTCAGTTTATCAGCTAGAAATGAGTTCTCAGAAGGGCAACACCTCTCGTAGCCGTCCTCAGAAGCACAAAAACCGCACAGCTTTCAAAAACACTTTGCACGACACCAGTCAGAGGACGAAAATCATCAACTCCATCCAAGTGGGCGACGTCTGCGTCAGATGCAAAGAAATAATCGAGTGGAAAATCAAGTACAAGAAGTACAAGCCTCTGACCCAGCCGAGGACGTGCGTAAAGTGTGGTTCGAAGGCCGTCAAGCAGGCGTATCACGTGATGTGCTCGGCCTGCGGCAAGCAGTCGGGCAAGTGTACCAAATGTTGCCAAAGCAAGACGATCGTCGAGGCGGAAGCTACGGAAACTCAACAGGTGGGCGTGGCTTCCCAGCACGTTTCAACTTTTTTATCTTTGATAGTAAAGTAGTCATGTGACATATCATTCGAAAGGTCTTTTTATTTATATATCATTGATTACTGTTTATTTTCAGTTGAAACTCGACAATGAGCTGAAAGACCTCTTGAAATCATTGCCGGAAAGAAAGAGAAGGACTTTCCTCAGATACATGAACAGAAAAGAGAAAGACCAAGAGGACGATGATAAAAAAACTGCTAGTGAGAACAGAGAGGATCTATTGGATAAACTGAACACGCTGAAGCTGGGAGAAGGTGATGACGATTTTGATGATTTCCTGGACGAGGAAGAAGATGAAGACAGTGATAATAACCAGTCTGAAGAAGAGTCATAGTAAATTAATGAACATTTATATACCCTGTATATTGATTTTTGAATAATAGAGAATAGAAAAACTGTTTATATTTTTTTGTTTGATTCTATAGAATATCGAGAATGTATATAACAGATTTTTTCCCACACCATATTGGGTCTTTCAGGACAAATAAACGTTCCAAGAATACAAACTGCATACACACTGCGGTAACTGAGTGGTACAAACCGGAAGTTAACGAGTTACACTGCCGGCCATATTGTGTAATTGAAGCAGTCAAGACAGTGCACCAAGTTTTGCCAGAGCAAGACGATCGTCGAGACGGAACCTACGGAAACTCAACAGGTTCTCGGCACGTTTCAACTTTTTTATCTTTGATAGTAAAGTGGTCATGTGACATATCAATTTAAAGGTCTTTTCATTCTGTATCGAATGGTGCATCAATATTTCATTGGTTACAGTTTATTTCCAGTTGAAACTCAACAATGAGCTAAAAGACCTCTCGAAATTGTTGCCTGGATAAAGGAAGAGAACTAGGACATTCCTCAGATATATGAACGAAAAAGACAAAGAGAACGATGATAGAAAACTGCTACTGAGGACAGGGAGGAACTATTGAATAAACTGAACACGCTAAAGCTGGGAGAATAAGGTCATGATGATTTTGATGATTCACTGGACGAGGAAGAAGATGATGAAGACATCAGTGATAGATAAAAATGAGTCTGAAGCAGAGTCTTAATAATTTGTTAATGGATATATACTTCGATCTTAGGTTTATATCGATTCTTAAATTATAGAGAATATAAAAACACTGTGTTTTATTAAAACTTTCGGACCTTGAATGAAAACATATCACAGCTTTTTTTCCACACCAAACTGGGTCTTCCAGGACAAATAAACGTTCCAAAAAACAGCTACACACTGAACCACCAGAACCTGGTAACTGAGTGGTACAAACCGGAAGTTGACGAGTTGCACTGCCGGCCATAGTGCGTAATTAGACGTCACAACGTCAACGTATTTGAGCCTCAGCTGTTCTTTCGTGAAAGCCCAGTCATGGCCATTCAAGACATTGATCGATGTGATGAAGACGGCATGGAAACAAGGGACGAAACACAGCTGATCCGTAGCCACTTTCTTGATCACCCGGTATTTTTTTGACGTACCGTAGAGTTTTTCTAGGCACTTGTACCATGTCGTCAGAGTAGGACCCTGAGAAGAATTAGGTTAAGATTTCAGATTCGTGTCAAAAAATTTGTTTTGTTTTCTTCAACTTACAACTAAAACTAAACCTAAAGTTGAAAATCTGGCGGTCCTTCCAAAGTCTACTTCAGCGATGGATTTTTTTTCTACGACCGTCTGGGCTATCAAATCACCTGTTCCCATCAGCACACTAGCTTGACAAGACTGAACTAACATTGGATGATTGGTCAGCAGTCGTTGATAGCCTTTATAAATTACCATGAATGTACTCATATTTGGTAACTGGAAGGTAGTTTATAACCTCCAAATTTATAACAACACCATATAATACCTATGTATGAATAATCTTCATAAAAGTCTAGTAAATAGATATTTATTTATATATTATAGCACTCGTCATATCACGCTTGCGCGTTATACGATAACATAACGTATCGTAAAAGGTCAATTTTGAAGAATTGTTATGTAAATACAGTGTGTCCATTTAGTGCCCGTAATTCTTCGATATCTCGGAATCCATTATCACTAGAGAAAAACTTTTGGAAACGAATTTCTTCCGTTATTAAAGGTTCCATTTCAAAAATATTTTCAACAATACTGGGTGTTTTATAGAAGCGGGAGGACTCGGAGACGAGTTTTTTCAAATAGAACACCCTGTATTTTTTTTACACTCTGAATATTGTAAGATTCAGACGACGTTCACTTGAATTTTTCAAATGGAACACCCTGTATTTTTCATAACAGATTCATTTCGACATCATTCGCCTTTTCATCGCTGAAAAAAAAAAATTATTGTCGTTATTCCCACAATCCAAATCTCCATCAAACTTGAAGAAGGCAAACTCTACCTAATGATACAAACAATATTTCTTTACTACGCGGGTTTCGGGAGGGCATTCAGCAAAATTTCAAATAAATTCAAGATATTATTTGATTGTGGCGATGTTTGACAGGTCATAACACTAATAATGGAAGTGTACTTCGAAAAATTAATTCGTTGTATGATATAAATCTGTGAAAGAAGCATTTTGGATCAATTTGTCAAATCCACTCTGATTCAAATTCAAATTTGGAGAGCGTGCAAATGTTCCTATTGTAAAAAAATATGTGAATGGTCAATGAAGAGATTTGATTATTTGAATGAAAGAACTATGACGTAAAAATTATACTCCGAAATAGTAGTAAAAATAAGAAAATTATCCATAACTTGACAACGCCTCAGCTGATTATGATTTTTTTGCAGCGATAAAAAGGTGAAAGATTTCGGAATAAATTTGTGAAAAAAAAAATACAGAGTGTTCCATTTGAAAAATTCTAATGAATGCCACATGAATCTTGCGAAAATCTAAATGCAAAATAGAGCACCCTGTTAAAGAACTTGTCGCAAAATTACTGAATTTGTACACGTGAGACCTTGCTACTACCGTATGCCAAAAATATTTTCATAATTTGAATAAATGAATATACCATGCCCAATTCAACATGACTCTTCAATAGTGGTAAAAATAGATTTATCAATTATAACTTGGCAACGCCGAAACCGATTTCAATTTTTTTTACAGCGATGTGAAGGTAAACCTCGGCGGAATAAATTCCGAATAAACAATACTGGGTGGACCTTTTTGCATGCCCCAATGTGTAATTAGTAATGTCCCAGATAGCACACACTCGCCTAAGGTCATCCTCAATGTGTCGCCAAACGCCTGGAGAGGACGTTCTGTTTTCTACAACCTAAGAACATCATCAGGCGTAAGTTTAGCGCTGTAATTGTCCTAAATGAGTTCTTTCAGTGACAGCCTGAGGATGTAAAGAATTTCGTGCCTACGGACGTCTTCAGATGACATTCCATGAAATAACGTGTCATCGAACACAAAAGGAAGAAAAAGAAGAACTAGAATTGAGGTTATGTCTCATGATAGTCATGATTTGTTCAAGATACATCATAATATATTGATGATTATATCAAAATTATTAGAGTATTCATTGAATACCTTCATCAAATTTCTATTTCACAAAATGATTGCGAGAAGAACTTATTGCACAGAATTAAAAGATAACAATAACAAAAGGATGATAATCTCTGTTGATGACATTTCTCTCAGGTAGCAAGAAACAATGGTGAGTTAATACTAAATAGAATCATTGATAGTACCGGACATGAAATATTGATACATTCATATACATTATTTATTGTTTCAGGAGGTTATTGAGAACACAAACTTGATGATATCATCATAGCAAACATGTTTTATTCCAAGATAGCTTTGCTTCTTCGGAATCTATAAAATATTGTATGGAAGCTTGAACTTTCAGTATGAATTCAATAAAGGTAGGTAGGTACCTGAATCAAATCATTGATATAGTAGGTACTGGACAAGAAATGTCAATAGGTTAATTATTTGTTTCAGATGAAGTTATTGAGAACACAATATTGATGATGTCATCAGAGCAGAGATGTTTCATTCCAAGATATTTTGGCTCCTTCGAAATCTATGTGAGATTGCATATGCATGTTTGCACTTTCAGTATATTCAATAAAGGTAGGTACCTAAATCAAATCATTGATATAGTAGGGACTGGAACATGAAATATTAATAGGTACATTATTTGTTTCAGGAGGTTATTGATAACACAAAATGATGATATCATCAGAGCAGAGATATTTTATTCCAAGATATTTTGGCTTCTTTGGAAATTATGAAAGATTGTACATATATGCAGACTTGAACTTTCAGTAGATTCAATAATGGTTGGTACCTATAACTACATAAATCATATCATTGATGATAATAAGTACTGGACATGAAATATTAATACATTGTTTGTTTCAGAAGGTTATGCAAAACACAAACCTGATGATATTTTCATTCCAAGATAGTTTTGCTTCTTCAAAATCTATAAAATATTGCATGAAAGCTTCAACTTCCAGTTGATTATTCTGCATCAGGAATGTCCAGAGTTCAGAAATCAAAAACAACATGAAGAAATATAACTATCAATAGGCAATAACTCCTAGTAGTGCTCAACAAGAAGCTGAAATACATTTCTTTGGAAAGAAAATTGAAATTTTTCAGAATAAGTTATAAATTATAGAATGTAAGTTTTTCATTTGGTTTTTCATTTGAACCTATTATGAATAGAGGGAAATTTTGCGAATATCATGAGATCCATATTATTTTGATAAAATTATCATTTGCATAATACAAGGTGAGTCAATAGTGTGTTATCCTTGTATATTAGCCAAACCATCAGATAAATAGAGAAAATTCAAGTACAACAGTAATAGGGTTTCATGAGAACTTTCACATTAAATTGTTTTCATATATATCTGTAGGGTGTTCGAATTCCAAGATATATTGACTGATGATTGTTTTTTTCCAAATGGGACACCCTGTATACTATTGCATTTTTAGGTTCTCCCTGAAGAGCTGATTCCATCAATGTATCACACTTGGGGTCTAGCGGGAATGATTACAGAGATATAGGGTGTTCAAAAACAAGATTTTTCAATTTTAGGATTTTTTTTGTGGAAACTATTCAATATTGGTCAAAACGGCTCACATATCCTTATAAACTTTCGATTTACTATCTACTGACATTCAATCGGAACAAATAGAGGGTGGGTTAACATTCAGAATACTGATCAGCTTATTGTATCTGTTCCAAATAAATATCAGTAGATAGCTAATCAAAAGTTATGACAGGAACATTTGAGCCGTTTTGACCATTAATGAATAGTTTCGACACAAAAAATCCTACATTTGAAGAATCTCAATTGTCAACACCCTATATCTCTGTAATAATTCCCACTAGACACCAAGTGTGATGCATTGATGGAATCAACTCTTCAGGGAAAACTCAAAAATGCAATAATATACAAGGTGTTCCATTGAAAAAAACCAATCATCAACCGATATCTTGGAATTCGAACACCCTATAGATATGAAAACAACTTTAGGTGATTGTTCTTATGAAACCCTATTACTGTTGTACTTGAATTTTCATTTTATGTATCTGACGGTTTTGCGAATATCGGAGGAGAACACACTATAGTGACTCATTCTGTATACGAATAATATTCTCCCATAAATCTTGAATCTCCTTGAAACATCATCAAAAACCGCCTCAAGTTGTTACCATGATGTCCTGAGGTTGTCTCAAAAGATTTTATAGGGATATTCTGAGACGTTATTAGTATGTAGAGAATGGTAACAGGAGGACGTCTTGAGAATGTCCTCAGGCTCGCTCTCGACGTCCTGAGGACATGATTGTGAACGCCTCAGAAGGGCCTCAAAAGGAATTTGTGCTATCTGGGGTGGCTCGCATTAACAGAGCTGCTCCCAAAGTGGCGTATGGAGTCAGTAACAAAGCCTACATAGAACACACATGGCTGAAGGATATCTCGTAAGGCCAATGTACATAATAAATACACACCAACAAAGTACATATTTTATCATACAGTGTATCTCGATTTTCATGAACACACCCTAATATTTGAGTTATTAATGATGCGATGTCCTTGAAATATGAATTTGGGTCCTTTTGGGGATGCTGAATCTGAATCTGATTAAAAATTGGAGCAAACACCAAAGAAGTCAGTGGTGTACATTTTTTGGCCAATATTATTAGAATTATTAGACCTAATAATTTCATTCTTGTTAGCGCCCCATTACTTTGAATAACTGTTATCAAATTTCAATCAGATCAGTTAGACAATTTTTCATAATAATTCCATAAATTCTGAATTGTTTCAACGCCCTGTATCTTAGAAACGCAGCAATTATGAACATATAATGTTCATAGGAACTTTTTTTCTCAAAACGATCTATTGTAAAAACTTTTCACTTAGTTCGAATGTAATAAGATAAAAGACGTGAATATACTGGAAAATAGGTAAACAATTTCACTCTATTTTTTGTAGGTTCTTTTTTTGGCGCTGTTGTTCTTAAGATTGCATTTTGAATCCATGTTATACTTTCACAAACAGAAGTAAACTCGTCTAAAGACAGAAAAATGAGAGATTGCTGGAAATCTCTGCTTTTGTAGAGATAACAGAATGGAATCTCTGAATTTCCCGCACAAAGGTAAATACTTAATTAATTTTGAAAGATATATGGGATGAAATACTGAGTGAACTGAACAGGAAAATCCGTTATACCACTTAAATACTTTTGGCAAATCGAAAATCCTCGACTTTTGATGAATTATTTTGAAAAAACAATTTCTATTTATCAAATTTAGCACATTTTGTTCATCTACAGAACTGAATTCTTGTTCTTGTATATTTTATCAACAGAATATGATTTGAGAATTAGATGGATTCATTATTTCCCAAACCGTAGTAATATAAAAAGAATTCTTGAACACGACGTTACTGAGAACTTGGTAGGAAAGCAATTTGGCAGAAAATTGAGTTGTTAAAAAAAAAGAATGGTGGATTACACATGGACTTACATACCTTGGGAGAGGAGT